TATATTATTCATTTGTTCATTATTTATTAAAAATTTGTCACAAAAATTTGGTAACATAATATGGATTTCTAACTAGATATTTACCATAATGAATTCTGGTTTGATAACAAATAAGAATGTTTCCAGATTTTAAATATAAATTGTTGTACCATTTCTGACACCGTAGAAAATTGTTGGTTCAATAAATAATATCCTTTACAGCATTAGGGGGTTATTAATCATGGACAAATAAAACCATGAAAAATCACATTGAGTCTGTTATTGGATTCCTCCTAGCCCATAATAATAATATTATGCTTAGTATATATTACAGCAGATCTCAAACTTTTTCGCCGACAACCCAAACAAACATCTAGGTAATTTGCTGCGACCCATAATACCCAAGACATTAAAATACAGATACTCAAAATGGATCATTAACTGATAAACAGAATTGAAGTAAACTGTATAAAAGTTACTTTGTGAAATAATTAAAATCCTGGCGACCCAATTTTTATTGTATTTTTTAAAAAGCACTTTGAAAGTGTATGGCTATCCCATAGGCTGGCAGGTTTACACATAGCATTGCTACGGGACACTTTTTCACATTTTTTTTTTTACGTTATTGTGGGAGGTTATTTTTGACAATTTTAATGCAGGATGACATAAAAAGTTATTGTGGACCTTAGATGTACAGGCTACTTGCGTGTTCATGCGTGCCTTTTGTAAGAAATTATTTTTATCGTTAACTATGTAAGATTATTTATCATTTAGCTTATGAAAGAATTGAACTACATAAGAGATATTTTCATCAAAAATGTAAAGAAAGAGAAAGTGAAATTGTGGATGGTGGGTTATTTGGCGATATAAATGCAATAACAAAGCGATTATTATATAAACACTGCAATGGGAGTATTCCAGAAAGGTGATAGTATCATAGACTTTTATTATATTTTTCAATCAAGAAACTCTGTTAATATGTTCTGTGACTTTATTTTCAACAAAACAACTGTACTTAAGTAAGTTTTGTCTGTTGGTTTTATGGTGTAAATAGTGAACATATTGTAAATGTCCAATTTAAGCGTTTACTTTATATTTAGTTTACAGCTGCATATATTATACCTATATCATTATCTCTCGTGAGTCCATATATGGGAGATCAAATTTTATTGTAGCCATTTCTATTATTTACGCTACAACTTGAAATTATTAAATTTTCTCATTGAGGGCGCTCTCCGAATACAACTATTTTCTTTCCATTAAAAAGTTATTTTTGTGCTAAACTTTCTTAATTGTGACTGAAATAGTTGTGTAGTTTCAAAACTAATGCTTACTTTTTAGAATTTCTAAAGATAAATATTATTATTTATGTCAAATATTGCAGTATTATTTTCTAAATGTTCTGTCTGTTTCCTAAACATTCCTAATTAGTTTCCATGAAATATGCTTCTCTATAACTCTACTAAGAAAGGTAATCCTTACACCTGACCTTTTGACATTTGCATATTAATGCTAATTTTCAGATGACATCATATCTAAATTTAGCTGGGTCATCTAATTGATTTTAATTGATAATGTAATGGAATCAAATGAAATATTTTAAATGGCTATTGGTCACATAGCATTGATGAATTTTGTAAATTAAGCTTTTTGTAAAATTAAAACTGGTGTTTTTTATTCTCATTAATTCATAGAGCTCTCTTAACACAGGGCCCCTTCATTCCTAAAACCCCCTTTCTTCATTCCTAAACAGACTTGCTCTGCTAATATTACTGCCCTAGTGAACATTTAACAAGCCAAGCGTCTTATAAATGTTGAATTAAATGTGTACTTATTGTTTATATGTTGTAATCTACTGTATGTTTAAATTATTTTTAAATGAATGTACAGCAATTAAAACAATGTATTTAACTAACATGCTATCCCAAGTTATATCGTTTACATTATAATTCAGTTCTTTTTAATTTTTAATATTTTACTCGTTAGTGGTAGTGATGCCAGCAACTAATTAATTATAATCGTTTAGTCAATTATTGTAATGAAAAAGAATAGAGTTATATCTATATGGAAACTTCCATTGGTTAGTCTTAGTTATATTGAATTGGATATTTTTTTAGCAACTGTCTGGCAATTTTATGCGTATGGAGGTGTGGCTAATGAAAAAATGGATGTGCCTATAAATACAAATGTGGGTGTGGCTTATTTTTTTAATGGGTGTGGCTAAGGCAGGGAAACATGATTGGTCAAAAACTTGGTTGCTATAAAATTACTTGATGCATCATTGACTAAAGTTCTTTTAAATCTTTAAATTATTTGCATCCATGTTAACATTTTCCTTTGTATATTACATCATTTATTTTAATAAATTAAGGTTGTAAGATGTTAATATATTTTTTGAGTAGTTTAATGAAAGAAGCATGTAAATTGGCTTCAATACATTATCAATATTTTATGTATACGTAATTTGTTTATTGTTGTTTCATATATATATATACTGTATATGTGTGTATATATATATATATACAGTATATATATATATATATATACATATTTCACATAACTACGTGTGTAATATATTTGTTTTTATACATATATGTTCACATACATATGTAATATATATGTATATGTACATATATATAAAGTAAGTCTTACTACCTATATATATATATATATACATATGCATATATATATGTATATATACATACATGTGTATATATAGATATATATGATCTCATAAACTAAAGATATTTTTGTCTAAAAATAAATGCTAAATCTGTTTAAATGTTCTTTCACGGTGCCTACATAAATATTTTAATTATTTTTTTGCAGAACTAGCTCTGTAAACATTCCCTTCCTAAAGACTAATTTCGCTAAAATGATGATAATACGAAAAAAAAAATCACATTAACTGTCAGTATAGTTAACAAAATGTGTAGCCTACGTTTTAGTAGTTCCAAGTAGACCTAGAAGGTTCACCAGTTTGTTCTTGATTATAATCCCGTTAGATAGTAACAATCTGCGGGAATAAGGTATCAGATCTGCATTGTTTGTTTTTATTGTAAACTTTTCGAACACTGCATGCTAAGTGTATGCTGGATACAAAGAAATTTGATGGGAAAATTGTTGCTTGTGTATCGTACTTAAGTATATTTGATGAAGGCAAGCTGGCAGTAGAGAAAAAATCTGGAATTAGAGTAGGATGTTCAATACTTACCTCTCTTTCTCATTTTTATGTAGATCTCGTTTTGTTGTCTGATATATTGTTACTTTATGATACACTCTAGGCATGTCGTTTCCTATTTGTCCATTATCTTAATTACTTTATTAACATGTGGTCTTAATTTTATCAAATCGTTGACGAGGATTTATCCACAGTTTTCAGCTACAATGTATTCTCTCGGTCTGTACTTGTTCTATTTATAAATCTGAACTATGACCTTTGTGCTTGGGCTTTTTTGACTTAATGTGGGACATGATACGCCTTTTATCTGTGCGTAATATTTTATAATGCAATGTAATCTCTGTCTTCTTTCTCTCTGCTCGTGGTTGCTATGGGCTATTTTTTGTTCGTGGTTGCTATGGGCTAATGTTATCGATAATGATCCTAATCATTGAAAAGACTACTTTAATTTTGTTGAATCATAAAATTTGGTCAATAAAAACATATTTAATCAGAAAATACTTGCTGACTGGTGTTATTACACTTAAGATTCTGTATTCATTTTAATGAAATGCAATAGTAATTATATACAGAGGAATATACATACATTTTTTGCAACAAGAAGTAGGGCCTATCTACTTTACATTCAGTACATAACTTTTTGTGACTACTGCCTTCTATAGCAGTAGTCACTTTCCTACCTTTTTAATATGCAAATGAGTATCTGTTTCCTTCACATAGAGTACCACAGTTGTGTCGTCACAACACCAGGTGGTGCCTTCATGATGTTGTTTACCGTTTATTACGCCTGAATGACTTCATAATCTTAATGGTTTAGAATAGGCTTTCTGGAATAGGCATTTTAAAACCACTTCACCTCAGCATGGAGGACCTCGGCCAACAAGAGAATGCTGATGTCAAGGATGTTTAAGAATCTCAACGTCAACCGATGCCTGACGAATTAATGATCTTAATTTTTGTGGTGGTCTTAGTTGTGTGTGCAATCATTCTGGCTTTACTGCTGGCCAGCTATTCGTAACTCAGATTGGTCAAATAAAAATAGTACAGTATCTATTATAATTATATTTATCTTATTGAGACAACATCATGAAAGGTTCTATAAGAAAGGTTTATACAGATGGGAAATTTTTTGCAAAGTTATTTTCTCAGCAGATTTCTTGCCCAACCACATGACATCTTGTAACTCGCTGTCCAGACAATCAAAAGCATATGACACGCCGAAATATGATCTTGATGACATCACATTATGACCATATTTAAGCATATCATGACTATATATGGGCATACATAAGCTTCTCTTCCATGTATTAAGTTTAAGTTGTTATTGATATACATACAAATTACTGCTTAAAGTTTTCTAAAAAGAATTTACATGAAGAACATTCCAGGTCCTAATCTCCAGCTATTAGTCAAAACAACTTATAAATAATATTTTAACTTTTTACATATTTTATCTGGTTAAAATGACTGATTATCTGTGTTTCACTTTGGTAAAACTGTTTTCAAAATTCCAAAGAAGAAATGTATACTTTTTGGATGCTGATGTTCCTATTGAATTCCTGATTGGGGATATATTTTTTCTTAAAGGCTTTAGTGATTTTCATAAACTTAGCTCATGTCTACAATGTCTCCAGACTTGTGCAAGAGAAAGAAGCATCTAATTTTAATTGTTAAAATTAACTCTTCAACATCCTAAGGTGGTGAAAATTTTTAAAACCTAATAATTTACCATCAAAAGAAAAATTAAGATACAACTTCTTAATTATTACGTTAGAAATTGGGATCAGTGGTTCGTGAATAGAGAAAATGGCATCGGTTGAACGGAGAAGTATCGCGTGGTATTGTGACATAACACTGTAGTACTCTATAAATTCATTTTGTCAATATAACAATAAAAATATGACAAGAATTGTGTGGTACGTAAGTCTATGAACAATTTTAAATATAATACATGTAGTAGAGAGGATTTGATAATTCCATAATTAACTTTATCTACACTGTTAATTGAAGGCATAATATTAACAGTCAATGCCTATAATTGTAACTTTCCCAACACTTATATTTGTTGAATATTTTGCTGTTGATATCTTTGTTGGTAGTATGTCTGGAGCTCTTCCCTTATATCTTCTCTTTCAAGTTGTTCTAGAGCACCATCCATCATTGCAAGATGGTTAACATTAGCTTCGTGCTTTTCCCGCCACTTCACCAGCATTTCAATACTGGCTTCAACCACCGAGAATCGAAAGCATAGCTCAATTTGCTGTAATTCAGATCGCTTAAAACCAAGAATGATGCCTAGGGTTATCCAATCATTGCTCAAATGTTTGGCAATGAACAGCATGTCGACATCTGCCAAGTGGCCTGAAACAAAAAATAAGACATTCAACAATAGTTTTTGAGAAAGCTGCTTAGCTCCGTTGGCTGAACTGATAGTAGCAAAATGTATATACGCTGAAATGGGGTGAACCTTTCAGACCTTCAAAATCCTGATTGAATTCCAAATCTGCTCTTTGTGTGCTTCAGCTGGGGATGAATGCAAATCACAATAGTGCAATGTGCAGATGAGCAGTGGGTCCCATGTGCAATATGTTGAAGAACACAGTTTTAGTCTTTGGAAAAGAGCAGGTTGGTATTGGCTACATGTACAGTATTAGTTTTGTAAATTGGTGTCGTAGTTAGTATCTTAGCCCCATACAGTAGAGGTTCCCCAATTTTCCTTACTACAGCCTTACCAATATGTATCGCAATGGGCGTAGTTTCATCATCAAGATCACCCTGGTATAACTCTCCAGCTAGACGCACATTACCATGTTCTCTCAGAGCAATGCACAGTACTTTCAGTTGATGTCTATCTCTATCAAGACTGTCCCTCCAATACGTCAACATACTGACGATAGCCTGTTCTGTCTGTTGTTCATCAGCTAAAAACCTATTGACTTTTGGCCATTGAAGGCCTTCTCCAGCTAAACCTAAAATGCATGAGAACAGAGATAAATATTCTAATATGTTGTGCATCAGTGTAATTGTTTATGCTGTAGTAGATGTAAAGTATCTTTCTTTGTGGTTGAATATTTGATTATCTTAGTGACGAAAATGACGTCTATATGCAATATGTCCCTGTACATTTGATCGAAATAAAAATCAGTGTTACTTTTATGGCCTTAATCATATGATTATTATTACAGATCTTATTAACTTGTGGTGTAATTTGACAGTGAATATGTATTAATGCATTACATAAGTTGTAAATCAAATCAATTCAAATTGTATTCGATATCATACTTGTGCTTTCCAGCTAAATTGTGACTGACATATGACATAAAATTAAAACATGGTTTACAACAGTAAACAACAAAATGAATTTAATCTAAAATATTTAAATTACAGAAATGCAAATTAATAAAGATTAATTTGGTATAAAGTTAATTTTATGGAAAATTTGACTGGATATGGTACATTAAATACATTTTAAATCAGATTTAAAATCTGCTGTTTTTCATAATTTTTGCTTAGAAAGTTGGTTGTAGTGCCAGTACCATGTTCGTACATGTTAGGCTGCCATTTTTCAGACATTCTCTTTACCAACTTCAATACGCTTTTATAATTCTCATAACTTATGTGGACATTGTGTCTCATCAGTAATCTTTTTCAATCGCCAAGATTATAATGCAAGAATATTTTAGCTTCTACATTAATTGTGTAGGTCCTGTCAGTGTACAACAATTCCAGTATGTTCTTAAGTTGTGCTTTTTTTCTGTATTTTTTAAATATGGATTTGAATATGCGAAAGACTGAAGATTAGTGATTGATTGATTGATAACAATCTGCAAAGTTACCTGTAGGAGTTAGGCCTATTGCTGGTAGAGGTAAACACCCTATGGATCAAAGAAATAATACAATAGTACATAGTTTCATCTAACTTATGTTGTATAACTGAATAAAAATATTCTTTAACCATTAAAGCCATGTATTTGTTCTTACCGTGACAAATAAACGTAGACCTGATACAATCACCCAAAACTAAGATAAGAGCTAGAAATCAAGGAGGAGACCCTTGGTTATTTCTATATATTCATATTATTCATATTATTCCCTTGAAATGCTGAAAAAGGTAGGCCTACTTTATGATGCTTTTTAAATATTTTGAAAAAGGTAGGCCTAATTGAGGAAAAATTGGAGGTCCTCGTTTTTCAGGTCTTTGGTCTTCATTTTGGTAGACACCCATAAGGTGTATATAAAACGAATTTTTGATAATTTTACAAACAGACGTCCAAATAATCTCGTAATTTTTATTTTGCCAACTTTACTATTAAAATAAATGAGATGTTTAGAATCTTAATATACAATACACATAGAAGGATGTAGGCTTATTTTAGTGTTCAACTTGGCCTCTTCTACAAAAATACACAAGATTTTTACCTTGCGGAGGTCTGTAATCACAAAATAGCCGACGGTAGCGCGTCATTTCCATTCCATTGCTTCCACATGGCAGAACTTTCTTATCAAAGTTATGCAAGATATGCATGTGAGCGTCTCTCATGTTTCTACTACACACGCAGGGGATGTACAATGTTATTTTAACCCCTCTTGCACCACTCTGGCAAAAAAGCCGTAGTTTTTCTTGGAGGAATTTCAGCACCTAGATAATTACACAGGATAAAATATGGATAAAGATGTATTGTCCCATGCTAAATACCAAAAAAAATCATAAAAATATTTTTTGAAATTAACTTGCACATTTTGAAGTAACATAAAAGTTATTAACTTGAACATAGCAATTGTATTTAAAAAATGTCTACCCATCAGTTTACAGCGAAAAATGATAAAAACACTTACAGTCACTGGAAGTGTTTTATTATTTGTATTATATTTTTCTGGTTTAAAAATCAGGGTGCACATTCTCTAAATTCAATAATTTATATGCACAAGTTAATAATGTGTATGTTATTGCAAAATGAGCAAGTTGATTTCAAAATTAATTTTTATTATTTTCTGACATTAGCAAGGGACAATACATCTTTAACAGCTCGGCCATTCACAATGATAGATATATAACACAATTTGTTTTGAAAACTCCAAAAATGTAACTATACATAAGTTAAACATAACTTAGTCTTTCTTAGCTTAAACATACAGAATTTGAATCGTACCTCTTTACACACACTAGGTGATGGCTCATCTTCCTCTCCATCGCTGTTGAAGATCATTCTTCTGATAATTGTTGTCTGCCAAAAAAAAGTCATCATTACATACTCAACAACTGTAGTTTATGTTAATGTTTTTGAACAGCAATTATTATTAATATTATGAAGGGCACACACCTGGAACATACGACGATGTTTGATGGTGGCCACATTCAAAATCACGCGGTGATACTGAATGTCCAACTCCACATGCTCGAAAGCTAGCTTAGGTTCACTCTCTTCAACTTGAAATTTCTCAATGAATTTAGTTACACCACGCTGGAATAAGTCATCTGGCAGATAGCCGCCGAAATCATGAAAAATAGAAACAGCGCGTTTTCCATAATCCTCAATGGGCAATAAATCTACATATTCAGGTTTCAGGCGTGACAGAACGTAAAAAATACGTTCACCCTAAAAATAGAAAAAAATATATATATAGGCCTACTAAGAAAGAATTTGGCAGAAAGAATTCCTAACAAGTTCTGCACATGATATATTTAATAATTCTACTATTACTATAAAAGCATTATTTCTATTATAATGTGTTAATAACATAAAATTATTTATAAATACCTCTTTAATCTTTCTCTCACAAACCAGTCCAAACTTCTGCATCAGAGAGATAAAGAAGTTAAATGCTTCTTCTGAAAGATCGAACTTCTTCCAGAGATGTCTCAAGAGATGCTCCTCTAAGATCCCAGAGTCCAATTTTCTCCAAGCCTCTTTTAATAGTGGTTCCTGATTATAAAATATCAAAATATGTTTTAAATTATTAAAACAACATGAGGCACTTTTAAACCAGAAAGAACAGATTTAAAAAAATGCTTACTTGAAACTCAGGATCTACAACAGTTATTATTGTTTTAAACATGCCGACTATTTGCATCAAATTTAAAACAATAATCTCCTTTAAGGCTTCATCATCAGGAAAGTAGAGGAGCTCGCCGATGTCGTGTAGATATTCAAGCAAGATCCGATGAGCGTCATGTTTTACCTCACAACTATCAAGTAATGCAATGATCTGATAATAATAAAGTCACGGAAATTACAGGTAAGTTTAACAAATCAAAATATAATAAAACTGATATTTTGAGCTGATTGGATCACAAAGTTCAATAGCAAGTTGATGAATGAATTAACAAGTCAACAAATAATAAGTCGGCAGAATAGAGATGGATAAGGAAATACTTTATGCATACAAACACGATATTTTAAATAAGTCTGTAAAGTGGTGTCATTAAATTTCAAATTACATGTTTCATTAAAGTTCCTTACGTCAGATGTTGGTAGATGAATATGCTTGTTCTTTAACTCATGGATTTTCCGTTGAACTTGCAACCATTTCAGAGGGAGACTTCTGACGATTTTCTTGGCGAATTTCAAGATTAGTTCCTTGATTTTGGAAGCATCGAACGATACGCTGTTCTCAATAGTAAAATACGATGAACTCACCATTGCTTCATAAGGTTTTCCCGCCAAAGCTTCTTCAATTTTACGGAATATTGCTTTTGCCTAAAATATGCAAAATTGTTGCTAAATTCGAAGGAATTATACATGTTATTGTATATTTAGAGTTATGGGTGGTAAAGTTTGTGTATGGAAATAGGCTGTGCTGTATCTATCACAGTCGGTTAAATTAGATTCCTTTTTTTTATCAGTAATGCTAATACGAATTACCGACTACCGTATGTACTATATTACACATAATTTCGTCGGGTGTGTTACCTTATTCTTCCTTTCTTCTTCACTCCCCTCGAGGCTGCGAAGGTGCGTACCTATCAGTATTACAGGCGGTGAAAGTTGTCCATCATCCAGTTTAGTGTCTCTACTATTCATAAATATTGAACGAATGTAGTAAAGAATAAACTGAAGGTTTGTCATTCGGTGTTTGTACATTTCGTTCTGAAATTAGACACATTATTAAATAATGAAAAAGTCCAAGAGAATAAAACATAGTGACATCAAATAAATTCATCATACGCTAACTTATTACATAATTACAGTAAATGATTGATAAGACATGAAATAATGTGATATCCTACACAAAAAAAATACAAATATATTATAAGCATCAATATTTACAGTTGTTGGATCTTTAACTTTTGCGGGAACGTCAAGGTCTTCTGCCAGATTGAATACTACGCATACAATAGCAAGAGATGCCATAAAAATCTATTAAAAAATCAAATTTGTTGATAATTACTGGTAAATTTAACTATTATCATCATTAGTGTACTTGCCATTGTTAAGATGGTGGGAGGGGATATAAATTCCTAACGTCCCAGACCTAGACATCTAAAAAACCTATCAATGGATCTATATAAAACTTTCCATATAGTTTTTCATATTCCAATGAAAGAATGACTAAATTTTATTGACAATCCGAAGTAAGGTGTGGATATGAGGACCATTCAAAGGAAAACGCCCATATAGACCAAAAACTGATTCACTGATCTAAATTATTCTTTTAGAAAAGCTTAACCAAGTTACAAGGAAGATATTATATATATATATATATATATTTTTCGTGACGATCCAGAATCGAGTGTGAATTTGGGGGTAAATTAAAGTGCAAACGCCCCAGATCTAAATATCTCAAATAGGTTATCAATGGATCTAAATGAAACTTTCCAGAATAGTTTTTCATGATCCAATGAAGAAATTATATAATGTTGGTGCCGATCTCGAGTAGGGTGTAGGTATGAGGGGAAATGATATAACTGATTTTAATGGAATTTTCTGGAAAATTTAACCAAGTTACAAGTAAGAATTTTTTGCTGTTGTTGTTGTTTTATAATTACAATAATTATTACCCGTTGTATCACGTGATATATCGGCTGGCCTCCAAAGTCCCAGATGGTCAAAACGAAATCGTTGCCAGGCTCCAGCATTCCAGATGTGGCTTGTCTTGACAACTTGGTAGTGATATTTTGGGAACCTCCTTCATTTATGGCATCTGTAAGTCGACTATTTGCTTCTCTTTCAACGTTACCGGCAACTTCAGATGATGATTGCCCTTTTTTGAAAAAAAGAAAAATATAAAGGAGCATTATGGCAGGGGAGGATTTAGGGGGTGGGGCGGCCCCGCATTCCCCCACTTTTGGACATCTCTGGATCCACCCCTGTTATGGTAATCGTGTGTGTTCGTGTACAAATAATTTAACTTTCAAAAATTGGAGGTTTACCTTGCTCATCTTCTTGAGAGATCAAATATATAGGCGCATGATGTTATAAAATCGTATCAAATATAGTTCAACGAAATTTTTCTTTATTATAGTTGAAAAAAGAGGTCCCGAACCCGCAATCTCTAAGAGTTCGATTTCCACCAGAAAGCATGTAATTTTTCACACTCTTATTATTTTTTATATTATATTTAATTTTATGAAATACATTAGACCACGGAGACCTATCGGGTATACTTGCAGATCTAACCCCTAGATACTTTCTGTCATACAACTGACTGAAACGCTTACACATAGTGAAGCTATGGATAAGCTAGAAAAGATAAAGAATTACCAATTCTGAGGTCACAGCTTGGACTCAAAATAAATACTGTAATACTTATTCAGTTTAAGTTCGCTGCGTAGCACAGTGAACATAATATAAACAAATGAATAAATAATAATAATTATAATAATAATTCTAAATTACTTCGTTCTAATTCATTCATTTTTATTTCTACATTTCTTGAATAGGAACATAAGGCGTTATAATTGTATCAGGCATTAGCCCTTCAATAAAGGTCTCTAGAGGGATTTGAACCTGCAGCCTCTCGCTAATAATAAAACGAATACCATTGAACAACTGATGCATCAAGGACTAGAGCTGTCCAAATACGCATGAGCTCAGTGTGAAGAATTAGTGCTTTAATCGGATTGGAATTTCCAACAAAGCCTCAATGGCCGAGTTTGTTTAGGCGTCTGCATAACAGCAGAGATTCCTGTTTCGAATCTCGGTAGGGGCACCTATTTTTTCACACTCGTAGATTTCTCTATTCTGACGTTCAAAATGTATTTATATATAGGTATAGGTCTCCATGGTCTAATGGGTATGACACTTTCCCTGATAGCGAGAGGTTGCAGGTTCGCATCCCACCAGAGACACTTTTTTCATACAACCGAAATAAAGGAATTTTTACGTTTATGAGCTGCTTTATATGATTATTACATGTTCCTTTTCGAGCACTGTTATTATTATCTATCTATATTTACGGTGCTACGCAGCAAATTTGATTTGAAATTTATATTCATCATCAGTGTTCTGGCAAAGGGCAGGTCTTATGGGCACTTATAAATCTAAATTCCTTACTACGTCCATGTTCTATCTCTTTCCATTGTGAATCCTGAATGCCCACTATTGTAGTCGTAAAGGCATCGGTAATGTCTTCTTCTGGATTAAAACTAGCAAAATAAAATCATAACTCAAATCAAAAGCTAAATGGTTGTTTAATAAAGTAGTAAAGCTTAGTCGGAAAATGGAAGAAGAATAATTCTGCATCATAGTTATCATACAAAAGCAAATTTATGTTATGAATAATAATAAAATAATAAAAATAAATATCATCTATATTATAGGGCTCATATCAATTTTAAGGAAATGCTCAAAGAGCTTTGAAGGAGGTCTACCCTTTTGTAAGTGTTCTAGAACTCATAAAAATACCCCTGGCTACTACCAGACGATAACTCCCAGGAAATCAGAACATACATGTTGAAAAGGTCAGCTAACAGAAGGAGTGTAAAGTTAAACTTACGGTTTATCAAGAAGAGTGTTAACGAAAGATGTTTTTCCTACAGACTCTTTCCCATTAATCATTAATCGTGCATGGTTAACTGTGACTCGTCCTGTTTCTAACTCCACATTATAAACCCTTACAGCTTCTTCGCCTCTAGTTAGTATTTCCCGTGGAATTAAGACTTGCAATTTAGAAAAAAAAATATTTTTGTATTAGGTTAAACGATTCGTTAACATGATTAGTTTGAAATTATATAACAATAAAACAAAATAAACTGAATTACAAAACATTATCATTTGTTAAAAATGTATTATAATGATTGAGCAGAACATATCTCTAGATATAAGTAAGGAGAAGTAAACATTTTAGAACTTTTTATAATTTTCAATGTTGAAATAACTTCATTTGATTTCTATTTATGTTTTTCTTTAATTTGTTGTGCTCACTTTGAAATATTTCCAAGATCTCTTCTTTCTGTTGTTCTTTATTTGTAAAGTCGTACTTCTGGCACTCATTCACCTTATAATCGTCAACTGGTGTAGAACCACTCTGTAACAACACACATATATCAAGTACAGTATATCGACGTCTCAAGACCTTTTTCATTCATTCAATACTTTTACATTTATTAATATTGACCAAAGATCTCAAGATGATTGAACGTTGAAGGGTCAAAGGTCAAGGTCACAATGAACAAGAAAACGATATTTTTAAAAAAAGTTGTTATCAGAAACTCTTCAAACTTGACCACAATGTTACATGACCAAAGATCTGGAAGTGAGTACATTTTGTAGTGTTAGGGTCAAAGATCAATTACAAAATGATTGAAAAACTTGTATAACTGTTTGCCATATGGGCGTGCTTATACGGGCTTGCCTGTAAAGTGTAAACAAACATATGACCATTAATTTCAAAGTAATGTATGTAAAAACAGTTGGGTGTAGTTGTTAGAAGATTGTTTTCCAAATCCTACCAGTAGGTGTGGCGAAATCTGCCCCCATACAGCCAGTATTCTGGACAGAAAAAGCCCGTATTCTGGACAGATTTCACCAACCCGTCTCAATCCCACGGTGTCTTCTTGTTTGTTTTTTTCTTGTTTGTTTTTTTTTTCTCCTCCATGGGCACAGTATGCGTGTGAAATTTATACTGAGGAGAATTACGATGTGAGGGAGGTATGCACTCTCCGAGTGCCCTCCAGTTTAGAAGTTAAAATATCGTGATTAATGGTATCAAACTCTTTAGAAAAATCAATAAAAATTCCAAGGACATATTTAGAGTTATATAAAAGATTATTAAACAAAATTCTGTGGTAATTTTTTTTCCTGAACCCGTATTGATGTTTGAAAACTTTTGATAAAGCAGGTAAAACGAAAATTGGTCGATAGTTACCAGTGTTTTTTGAACCTTTTTATTTAGTGCCGAAACTTCAATGCACTTGGGAATTTGGATTTTTCAAATGAAAGATAAAAATATAACAGAGGCATTGAAATATGGGGTGCAGCAGTATAGATTAATTTAGCAGGTAAGTTGTCACTTTTATTTTTATCTAGAGAAGTAAGTAAATTAAATACCTCCTCTACAGATACAGGCTCTAGGGCAAAAAATCTAAATTAGATCTAGGTAAATAAAATTAAAAGTTACCGGAAGATGATTTTATTTTCTTGGCTTAATTAACACCAATATTTGTTTAAAAATAATTACACTTATTAACAATTTCATTTTGACAAGTGATTTTCAGATCGAGTGACGGTTATTTTCGGGTAAATAGTTTTTACTGGTTCTACGTCCAAGTACATCATTAATTGTTGACCATCTTTTAAATTTTTATGAAATAAATATATCATCAGAACATACAATATTAAGCTCCAAAGACGAAAAAATGTTTAAGAAAACTTCTAATCCATAGAGAGCTTCACAGTACACGTAGTACACGACCTACACAGTACATAGTCACCTTCGTGGACTATGTACCGATTTCGGTTAGAGCAGGGTACCTTAGAGGAATAACGTCCCTACCCCATGTTGTACTCAGATTGGCTATGTCATTTTTAAACACAAACAAAAATATTTTTGGGAACAATTCATAAATTTACCAATGGATTTCCTTTAACTGACGAATACAATTATCGTATCGTATTGTAACATTCACTTTATACCTTGTTCTTTATATGGCTATTGGCTCCGACTTGTAATAGTGCTTTTGCAACAACACGGTGAACGAGGAATGGGTGGTTCGCTGACATCAAGTAGTGAAGTGGAGTATTTCCCGCCTGTCAAAATGCAAGACACGGTGTGTTAGTACTAATTAATAACAGGTAATAATAACTCCAAAAGAAATTAATTCATACTGTGACAATAAGGCCTATGTAATGAAGATCTGGATTTTCAGTGCACAAAACAATTAAGATCTGGCTCATATTATTCAGAATCTTAGACCTCAGATTTTTGGCACATAGGCCTAAATTTGATAGTCTAGGTACAGGTACTATCATCATTCTCATCTTCACCATCATCATTCTCATCTTCACCATCATCATTAATAATGTGCGTAAACCTCGTATGAGTATAGTCGCACAACATTGGTGGTCAGTTACGTTCGCTAGAGAAAATTAACGGATGGAATATCAGATATTAAACTGTCCTTATGATGTAGGTATGATGTAGTGTTTACAACACCACTAATTTGGGGTGATTTTTATATTTGGTCTGGTATAATGAAAATTCCAAAAAGCAAAACAAGTCTGAAATTATTATAGTAAAAAATAAAACAAATTGCAAATTCGTCAAAAAAATATTCAAAAGCATTCAAATAACAACAAAATTGATTTTTTTAAACAATATCACAAATATCAAATATTCAAAATATTTACGCCATTATTGAAATTACATATTAACACTAAATAAATATACAGAAATACATCAAAACATTAAAGTAAAAAGAATAAATATTGCACCAAATATCAACAAGTGGTATTGACCTGTTCTATATCTGTAATTGTCCATAATGTAATTATTATTGATATTTATTTTGAAATATTGAATCTTAATCTTTAATTAATTTACAGTATTTATTTATCAAAAAATTAAAAAATATCTGTACAATCGAAAGATTTGAAAATTGTTATATCCCATTTCTTAATTTGTTGCAGAGTTTAAAGGAGGTGTTTCCCAACTAAATATTGCTACAACTGCTACTGCTACTGCCGCTACATTTTCAATAACAACTGTGTACCAATATTATTGACAGATAACAAAATTTGTTGATTTTAATTTTCATTACGTATTTTTATAGAATAATGTGCTGCATTTTCAGTGTACCTGGTTTTTGTAATTCACGCATGTGGTAGAAATTTCTAAAGCACGACGCAGTGCATCTACTCGTCCATACAGAGCCAATAGATGAAGGTTACTGTCACCAAACTACAATTTAAGTATATAAAAACAGGAAACAAAAACATACAAGATATACAACACAACATTAGAACAGGACTATATATATACACTTACCAAAACATATAGATCATTTTTATCGGGTATATTTTGAAACAGCGTTGTCAACATCTCACAACTCATTCTGGACTTGCTCTGGAGAACTTCCAGCTGCCTAGCCTCCCTGAGCAGCCAGATTGTGCCAAATAAAACGCCGCACGCGCACTGGTAGCTACGTAGCGCCAAGTGCGTAGGCATTTGGAAGTCCTCCAGTGGTAGTTGCCAGGTAATTTTCATTTAAAAGTTCGCGAAAATGGTATATACATATTCAAATACACATTGTAATAATTCTAGACCTAAAAATAAGATTTTAAAATGTGAAAGTTGCTGTTTATAGGATCAAACGATTGATATTTATTTTTTTTTAAATTGGTGTCGTACATATGAAAAAACAATTGTATTTTAGTCACTGTAAGCATTTACCCTAAATCAGATATAATAGTAAGTTTTATCAAAGTTAATTTATGTATTTCACATAGAAAGGAATACGAAAAATAAATTGAAAAAAAAAACAATGAAAAGTATAAAAAGGATTATTTATCGAAAGGAAAAATATAAATAGGAAAAAAAGAAAACGAAAACAAGCAACAATATGAAAAGAAGAAAAATATAATAATTAACAATTAAATAGAGAAAATGAAACCATAATTGCTTTTATTATTATCAACATATATATATGTATACGAATTCGGTACAAGATATTTAACTTGATTTATTGTAATTTTGGTTGTAAAGGGCTTATACGATCACGAATGTTGAAATACGGTACTAAAATACATGTAACTAAATTCTAGGGAATCCTCCCTAGAAAGTTGAGCGGATGCACGTTGTGTATGGTTGATTCTGTATTCAATAACCAGGGGTTGGGGTAGGGGTAGTAGTGCCTTGAAGCAGTGCAGTGCTTCTGGATATGTGCGCTATATAAATCCTATTACATAGGCCTAAATAAAGCAAATACAAATGTAGCAATCCGTTTTCCATATATATATATTGAATGCTCCATTCTCCTTAATTTACCATGTTTACATCGTCTACAACTTCTTTTGCTGCAATCTTTAAAAATTCCAACACAAGACTTTCTGGTGCGTAGTCGGACGACACTAACCAATATAATGACGTCATCCTTCCCTACGAAAAAAGAACAACGGTTTAAAGCATTCATTCTAATCTGATATTTAAAACAAATGTCATAACTTGTCTTTTACTTGTTTCTCGTCTCAGTGGTATTGTTATATAATCCAATTTAAAGTTTGAATTTACAGGTCTCCTTCTAATTAAAGACCCTTCAATTAAAGACCATATTTCTGCAGCCGAAAATGAATGTATAACTCTTATTTTTGTAAATATCATTTTTTTTTCTAATTATAGACTAAAGTCCTGTTTATACTTCAACGATAACGATTAAAAAAAGCTAGAAAGCGATTGTTCATATAGAGAACAAAAGAAATAAGATAAGTTTTTACACTAGGACAATTCGAACGATTTATTGTGTATACGATAACAAAAAAAAATAACAAATCAAATCAGATGACGTCATAATCATGGTAAAACGATAAAATCGTTGCTACTACTACGATTTTAATGTTTTTCCATGATTATGACGTCATCTGATTTGATTTGTCAAAATATGTTTTTATCGCATAACTGATAAATCGTTATCGGATCTTTCTAGTGTAAAAACTTCTCTTTTTTCTTTTATTTTCTGTATAAACAATTGATTTTCAGCTTTTTTTATCGTTATCGTTGAAGTATAAACAGGCCTTAAGACCTCTAAAGACCATGGAAACCCTGGTCCCAAAAGTGGTGACAATAGCGAATCTAGCCTCATATTACTATTATCTCTTCTGGTGGAAAATTACTTAAAGGTAGGCATATCATTGTCTTGGTTTTACCCTTTTTTATCAGACCTAAAATAATGGACCTATAATATTGTCAACAGCTATATATATTTTGACAAATATATTTTGTCCGTTTCTATCTACTGTAGAACTTCATGATATTAAACGACGTAACTTTTGTTTGTGTATTATAAAATGAACATTTTTGAGATAATTATTTAAATATCAATGTTTAAAATTGGGTAACATTATATAGTACGTACAGATTTTTCATTGACAAGCTCTGGTTTGGCTCGAATAATGCGCCATACTTCATCCCATCTCTGCTTACGCATTGCGTCGTGTAAATCGCGACTGTGATAATAAAAAGTGTTTTAAAAATGTTACTAGAGTACAGCGTATAGTATATTTATTAAATTATAAATAAGATTGTATTAGTCGGTTATATGATAATAAATAATAATAATAATCAACAATTTATAATGCGAAAATTTCAAAATTGATAAAAGGCGCAATTTACCCTTGTTATAAATATGTTTTAAAATTAACTTTAATATACACTAATATTTCCAGTGTTTTAATTATTATTTATATGTAGAGATAAATTGATTTAAATTAAAATGTCTATTCTGATAGGAAGTAAAGTATAATGACATGAATAAAGCACAACCGCTGATCACTGCTTGTGTCTGGTCAAGAGATTTTCTATTTGTGTCTGTCTTCTGCACAAATAGAACGTTGTTGGGGAGTGGGGGCTGAGGTGGTATAGACCCTCCATCTGTCAAATTCCCACCCTGGGTCCCCTTTATTTCAAATTGCTGGATCCGCCACCTAACCCTGAGGCTAAAATTGTAAAAATAAAAACAAAATAAGGTAAAATTAAAGTTGAGGTAAAATGCCAAATGAGGTTTTTATTTTTTTTTAACTAGAAAAACCAACAAATATTGTAAAATTCGTTTGGTCTTATCTGTACCTTATTCACAGTAGGTCTGACTATGAAATAACTTTATAATACAGTACAGTAATGTACTGCTGTATAATACTTTTCTGTCTTTTAAAAGTTTGTAAATCAAGAACAAATTATTTTTTTTAGTCTGAAATTTGAATAAAATAAGAACACTGAATCTGCTCAAAATTTTACTGGTTCATATAAAATTAAAAATCTGATATGCCTAGTACATAATTTTACAATGGTTGAAATTGATAATAATGAATAAAAGACTGAAAATATTTGTATTTTAAAAAGTAGTTTATGACATATATTAAACTAGTCATATTATTGAACTAGTCTTTAAATTACTAATGCTTCTAGAGTTTTTTTGTATATTGCTATCAGACTAGAACGGCTAATTTATTTTGAAATTAGGAACGCGAATTGTTACTTACGCAGTGTAAGCCATGTTCCGTTCAGATTAGCTTTAGGTTGGTTGTATTCAATTATGCTACCGGTGAAAACCTGTTATAAGGCCTATATTTCGTAAAGGTCACCTTCTTGGTCTAGCAACTCCGATAATATGCATAAAATAACTGCATTAAATTGTTGACTGAATTTCGACTAAAATCAGAGAGCACTAAATAATGTAGTTCATCCTTCTCCAACTACCCCAGAATAATCAGGGCTAATAAACGTTTCGCTATTTAATGTTCTGCAGAGCTTGAAAAGTGTTTGTTGAAGGAGGTAATATATACCCACTGGTTTCTAAATTTTGGCTTTGTTATTTAACGATGTTATGATAGAGCGTTATCGATTTCTTGCAGGCATTGTTTCATCTGTTGTATCTGTGCCAATTTTTCTCTGTCAATAACAAAAAATATATTTATAAATGTTATATATTAAGTCCAGGCTTCATTTCGTTTGCAGCCATACGTAACTGCTACACAATAGCTGCAACACAAAACATGACGATGTCACCTGGGAAACAGATAAATATTTGCCAAAGTAAATATTTTTCAACAGACAATTTACTCGGTGTAAACACCAAGGATAACGTAGGAAAGTCTGCAGAAGACTTATTTCAAGTGGGCTCCTTCTGGTGTCGGAAGACAATCTCCTGAACTTTTTCCGAATAGTGTACTGCGTTCTGTAACATGCACACGTGCCATAATCTACACGGGACCAACGGCCTAATCTCATCCGAAAGACGATGCGCTATCGTAACTTGCATTTCAGCCTTCCAGTAATATGTAATAAAGTAAATCCCCGGGTAATGATGGAATCCCCTGCGAATGGTATTTGAGATTCTGGAATATAATTAGTAATTTTTTGTTTATATTTTAAATAAAAGGTTAAATGAAGGACATGTCTTCTTTCACAAAAACAGGGGGCCCATCTCCTCTTAAACGTCAATCATAAAACTAGAGTCATAGTGTCTGCAACTTTATTCCAAATTTGGTTCATAATGATCAAAGTGGATTTGTTAAAGAAAGAAAGGTTCATTGTGGAATCAATTTGCACCCTATCTGATATACTGTAGTGCTGTCTCTTATACACATCTAGATGTGTATAAGAGACAGATTATATAGTACGTTATTTACGCAGTGTCCATGTTCCGTTCAGATTAGCTTTAGGTTGGTTGAATTCAATTATGCTACCGGTGAAAATTTGTTATAAGGCCTATATTTTGTAAAGGTCCCTTCTTGGTCTAGCAACTCCGATGATATGCATAAAATAGCTGCATTAAATTGTTGACTGAATTTCGACTAAAATCAGAGAGCACTAAATAATACAGTTCATTCTTCTCAGACTACCCCAGAATAATCAGGGCCTAATAAACGTTTCGCTATTTAATGTTCTGCAGACCTTGAAAAGTGTTTGTTGAAGGAGGCAATATATACCCCCTGGTTTCTAAATTTTGGCTTTGTTATTTAACGATGTTATGATAGAGCGTTATCGATTTCTTGTAGGCATTGTTTCATAATGATCGGTTGGATCTGTGCCATTTTTCCTCTACCAATAATAAAAAATATATTTATAAATGCTATATATTGTGTCCAGGCTTCATTTCGTTTGCAGCCATACATAACTGCTACACAATAGCTACAACACAAAACATGACGATGTCACCCGGGAAACAGATAAATATTTGCCGAAGTAAATGTTTTTCAACATAGATTAAATAGATTCATTATTCCCCAAAAAGACCCCATGCTTGAAAAATTAAACTATCAAAATAAAAACAGGTTGTAACTATTGACTGTCCTCTATAGCCAATAACCCCCCACCCCCTTCAGAAAATCAAAGCAGAATACAGGAAAGTCATCATTAAAAAAGGGCCATTGGATGTTTATCGGATAGGCACATTTGTTTACAATAGTGTTTGCCAACCTTTTTTATTCGCATTTTAAGAAAGGTTAAAAATCCTTATGGTCCCCAAGTCTGAGTCCACTAATTGGCGATGTTTACCAACACGATAATAATAGGACATGATTCGCTGCAAAGCACCATAGAACTTCCATTATCTATAACAGTTCCTGATTTGCAGTAAATTGTTTTTAACATTAATAAAACTAGAAAAATAATCTAATATGATTGAATTCCATTTTTATTTTCGAAATTCTTTAAGCCGAGTACTTACTGCGCCCGACCGTCGCGGCCGACTTGACTCATAAAGAACGCAACGCGGGACACGCGCACAACTGATAGTTTTTACCGTACTCGCGCAAATAAGCGCCCCGTTTGAATAAGCGCCCCTAACGAGAAAATTTCCTTAAGCGCCCCGTTTGAATAAGCGCCCCAATCAATAACCCAATCAATCCTGGGACTGTGGATGTTGGCATGATTTGAGGTGTGGAGTGGAATCACATTCTCCTTTAGTCAATATCGAAGTGAGGATATTTATCTTTGACAGAATGATGAGAGCTCCCTGGACAGACAGTATATTTCCAACTTTCATCTTCTTTCATTTGTCTATAGCAGGCCCGTATCCGGGGGGGGGTGCGTTGGGTGCGTACGCC